AAACTACTAAAAGAAAACATTGGGGAAACTGTCCAGGACATTGGACTGGGCAAAGATTTCTGGAATAATACCCCACAAGCACAGGCAACCAAAGCAAAAATGAACACATGGGATCACATCAAGTTCAAAAGCTTCTGCAAAGCAAAGGAAACAATCAACAAAGTGAAGAGACAACCCATAGAATGGGAGAAAATATTTGCAAACTATCCATCTGACAAGAGCTTAATAATCAGAATATATACGGAACTCAAACACCTCAATGACAAAAAGTGTAATAATCCAATTAAAGATCTGAATAGACATTTCTCAAAAGAAGACATGCAAATGGCAAACCGGCATAGGAAAAGTTGCTCAACATCACTGATTATCAGAGAAATGCAAATCAAAACTACAATGAGATATCATCTCATCTCAGTTAAAATGGCTTTTTTCCCCCAAAAGATAGACAATAAATGCTGGCAAGGATGTAGAGAAAAGAGAACCATCATACACTGTTAGTGGGAATGTAAATTAGTACAACCACTATAATGAAGTGTGGAAGTTCCTCAATAAACTAAAAATAGAACTATCATATGATCTAGCAATCCCACTGCTAGATATATATCCCAAAGAAAGGAAATTAGTATATCAAAGAGATATACCTGTACTCCCATATTTATTGCTACACTATTCACAGTAACCAAGATTTGGAAGCAACCTAAGTGTCCATGAACAGATGAATGGATAAAGAAAACGTGGTACGTGTACACAATGGAGTACTATTCAGCCATTAAAAAGAATGAGACCCTGTCATTTGCATCATGGATAGAACTGGAGGTCACTATGTGAAGTAAAATAAGCCAGTCACAGAAAGATAAACTGTGCATGTTCTCACTTATTTGTGGGAGCTAAAAACTTAAACAACTGTGAGATAGAGAGTAGACTGATGGTTACCAGAGGCTGAGATGGGTAGTGGGTGGGAATGAGTGAGTGCCAATGGTAAATAGGGACAAAATCATAGACAGAATGAATAAGATCTAGATTTGATAGTACAGAATGACTACAGTCAACAATTTATATATTTTAAAATAATTAAAAGAGTATAATTGAATTGGAACACAAAGAAGGGGCAAATGCCTAAGGTGATGGATACTCTATTTTCCCTGATTTGATTATAATGCATTGTATTCCTGTATCAAAATATCTCATGTACCCCATAAATATATATACATAAAATGTACCCACAAAAATTAAAAATTAAAAAAAAGAAAAACCATGAGCTTGTATACTTATGATTTGCATAAATTTACGTATCCTTACTTGAAAAAATTAAGACTGGCTTCCAGATCAGAGCACAGCCAAGACTTACTATATCTACTAAAAGAATGCATAAGTCAAAAGATGGTTGGTTGGTCAGGGATGGAAACAAACACCGAAAATTCCCTTCTGAACACTGGACTTACCTTGGTCTCATGCTCTTAATGGGAAAACTATAGATACACATATGTTAAGTGTGAGTTAGCTCTCCCCACCCCACCGTCTGGTTCCTATGCCACTATAGCCAATTATTTTTCACTCTACACCAATCTAGATCTAGAAATCAGATTTAGCTTCAGGTTCATTCTATCTTACATATGTACACACACATATACTCCTTTCATACCCACCAGATGTGAGGCCTAGAACTTCTGCAGGCATCGTGGGACCTTCAGAATAAGGATGAAGCCAGCACTGAGGATTTCAATAAATCACCAATCTCTTTCTTGCATCTTCTTTCTCTGACATACTGATATAAACCCTTCCATTATGTAGTCCCTACCCATACTCTCTCCTGTCTGCTGGCTCACTCCTTCTGGATGGCCTTCCCCACTCTACCCTCTAGGAACCAAAAATATCATCCTCTTATATTCTGTTCTATCAAACCTCAGGAAGTTCTGAGATGCCAAGAATAGGAATTGGGAAGGAAGGTTACAACAGAGGTGACACAATATATGTCTTTGAGTCCTTAGCATGGCATTCAAGGGTCCTCATAATCTTACTCTTGCTAATCTCATTTAAATCATCTCCGTACACCATTTCCATTCACATTTAACACGTGTGTTTGTAGCTCCCCTTCACCCATACACCATTCTATTTATAACCTCTGAGCCATTGCTCACACAATTCTTTTTTGTCTGAATTACCCCCATATCCCTTAAACCATCTGCTTATCCATTTATACATAACTGAAGTGCCATCTCTTCCAAAAAGTCTTCCTTTACCATAACATTTACAACACTCTAATAAAATTGTCTATGTGTGTGTCTCTCCCACTAGATAGTGAGAGCTTTCAGGGCAGAACCATTTCTCTGATTTTCCTCTCTAAGCCTCACTGTACTGTAGGTGTTTAACAAACATCTTCTCACTGTACAGTGTCAATGAAATAGAAGGGGCAACGATTTTGAGGGAAAGGAACAAGGGGAGTAGATTATGTGTGATTTAGAATCACACATACCTGGATTTGAATCTCTGCTGCCAACTTCACAGCAGAGGGGCCTGGCCAAGCTCCTATGTCCTCCTCCATGTAGTAAATTGACTCATAGTGCACTTATGAGTCAGTAAATGGGAGAGATAAACACATGACTTCAGGGTCAGGTTGCCTGGGTTCATATCAGCTTCATTACTAACTTCTAGTGTGACCATAAGAAATTTTCTGACCCTCTCTGTGCCTCAGTTCTCTCATTTGAAAAATAAGCTTTGTAATAATTCATCTCTCTTAGAGCTTCTGGAAGGATTAAATTGGGATGCAACCTGATAGAATAGCACTATGCAAGTGTTAAATAGTTATTAAAGTTAGCAATTATTACATACTATGGGGATAATACTACTTATTTCAAAGGTACTAAAAGCATATACAGTGGATGAGTAAATGATAGTTGTTACCATTAATTGATATATGTCAAATAAAGAACATTTACACATTTTTACAAAGAAACTAGAGTGTAGCTGAGGTAGGAAAAATAAATTCTGAGAACTAAAATATCATTCTAAAACTCTACTTAAAACAAAAATCTCAGGCCAGGCATGATGGTTCACACCTGTAATCCCTCCTTTGGGAGGTCAAGGTGGGCAGATTACCTGAGGTCAGAAGTTCGAGACCAGCCTGGCCAACATGGTGAAACCCCGTCTCTACTAAAAATACAAAAATGAGCCTGGCATGCTAGTGGATTCCTGTAATCCCAGCTAGTTGGGACACTGAGGTACAAGGATCACTTGAATCCGGAAGGTGGAGGTTGCAATGAGCCAAGATCGTGCCACTGCACTCCAGCCTGGGCAACGAAGCAAGACTCCGCCTCAAAAAAAAAAAAAAAAAAAAAATCTTACTCAATCCTGGTGAATTTTCAGCATCACTAAAGAAAAACAAAAGAGGATTTAACATTATGCACTAACACATGTAGAGAAAATAACATAAGCTTCGGAGTCAGATAAGACACACCTGCATTCTAATCCTGGTCCTATCACTTAAGTCATTGATTCCAATAAAGTATCAGTATTTAGGGTTTTTCCTTGGAAGATGTCTTACAATACGTTTCTTCACTGTATTCAGCAGTTTTTTTTTTTTTTTTGTTTTTTTTTTTTAAACAATTCCGAGGCAAGCAGTGCCTGGAACTGGCGGTTGAGAATAAAAATGAATGACACTGTCACTAAAGGTGAGCTCAAGGTAATGAAAACTGCATGAGACACTGGGGCCAGACAGACCTGGGGTTGAAAACGGTTTCCACCTCTGCCTTGCTGTGAGACCTTGGGCAAGTTACATAAACTCTCCGGCTCTCAGACGACTCTTCTGTAAATTGGGATAATAATAGTATCTACTTCACAATCACGTCCTCTGAGAGGAGCCTATGCTGATCCTGCCTACCTACCTCTGGCTGTGGTTAAGGGGTCTTAGTCTGTGTTCCCAGAGCCCACCGTTCTTGTTATTTTACAGATGAAAGGCATAGATATCATTCTGGGTTACGCTGAAAGAACCAAGAATGTGAACTCAAAGATTAGTGGAATTGTCAAAAACAGATGAGCCCTACACTCACAAGGAGACAGCTCTTTCAAGTTTCCTGTTTCTTCTTTGACCATTCATCCCCAGTCCATCTCAGTCTGCAGCTTTTCTCTTTGTGTCTCTCTACGCATTCTCATCGTACTCCTAAAAGACTTACAATTCTTCATTTCAAGCCCTTTCATGTAATTTTTATGTGTGTCTGGCTACCACACAAGACTGTGAGATGCTTGAGGGAAAGGATCGAGTTACGTTGGCTTTTACCCATCCAGCAACCAGAACACTTCCTGAATCTTGGCACGAAAACAAAAAATAAATCCAAGAAAAACTGAAAACTTATTTAAAAAAAAAAGTTTAGAAATAATATGTTTATATATACATATATATAATATATCCAATTCCTTTCTGCGGTATTAAATATTTCAAATAAATTCTTGCATTTACTCCCCACTGCATCTGGGATATATTATTCCCTTTTTTAAAATATGAGATTACTAGGAACCAGAGAACTTCGGAGTCATTTCCATGGTTACAGGGCAGGTATGTAACAGAATGAGCATGGAAACTCTGCGTATGTAATGCCAACGCACACAAGGACGGCAGCACAGGCAATCTCCATACCTATGTGTGGACAATGTAAAAATACCTCTTGGGAGAAGGGGCTGCAAATACAGTTTACCAACATGTTACACCAGTAAAGCTGTCATTTTAAGATAAAGGGAAGGGTCTTCCGGACCCATTTTCAACAAGTGGCCAATCTTGGTAGTGCAGACAAAGAAGCAGCCCAGTAAGTTCTTAGAACCGGAAACTCCCCTCCCCGCAAACAACACCCGCGCGGCACACGCTGCAGAGCCACGACTTGGCCGCATTTATGTTCATGGCTGAGGATGCCACGGGCAGAGTAAGAAACGGAACCGCCACCCAACCGCGCAACCAAGAGCAACCCAGAGATCCCGCCTCTGCTTGCTCCCCTCCCCCACCCTTGCTGTACCTCTGCGCAGCCACCTTTGTAACCGGCGCCTGGGGCGCTCGGCGGCCTGCTGTCCAAACCGGGGTCAGGAGCCTGGCGGTAGCAAAGAGCATCACCGAAAGGAAGCTGGTAGGCTAGCAAGGCCGGCCCCAAAGACCCACAGCTACACTCGCCGCTCCGAACTCGCGGGCCCGCGGCGTCCACCAATGAGATGAACCTGGGCGCGCAGCGGCTAGACCTCAGCTGCTAGGGCGCCGCCAAGGCCCTGCTGGACACCTGTGGTACCTTGGCCTCGTGTATTACACCTGTGGCTGCCGCCGAGGCGCGGTTCAATTTGAAGTCTGAGTCCCTACAGGCCCGTGATTCCTGGATTACAACTGCAGTTTGTGCAAGAAGCAGCAGCACCTGCACTTCCACTTAGCAACCTCCGGCTTCACGCTCCTCCAGGGTGCAGAGAGCATCAAAGCATCATCACCGACCCAACACACACCCGTGCTGCGTAGTTTCTGCAGCAGGTGTGGGGTGAAGAGTTGCCACACAGCTATCTGACACTGGGTGTACAGCGTCACCCCTCACTGCCTGGACAAGGGAACATTTTCCTAAAGGTAAAGCCCATGAACATGTAGAGGCCCCCTTACTCTCATGCTAGTCCACATTCAGCCGGAAGCAATTCAGCAAATTTGCCATTTCAGTGACGCCCTGGATCTGTCTTTCAAAGTAGTGGCTTACCCTGCAACCTCATTTCTCTGATAAGTATTTTTTAAAGCCATTGATTCAATTTGTTCAGCTTTTTCTTGCTGGAAGAAGGGGATGGGGTGACAATTTCCAGCTTCTTTACATGAAAGAGCTGAAACCAGAAGTCTCGCTTGTGACCATTTTTGCAATATACTACAATCAGTATAAGCCTCTGATTTAGAAATATCATGGTAAATGCCTGAGAAACAGGAAAAAAAGTTGAAAGAAGTTTTCTCAGGGAGCCAGAGCAGGAGTGGGGGCGAGTATGGATTTAGAATCAAATGATTTCTGGTTTTATTAAAGGCTAGTATTATTATTCTTTAAGAACTTTTAAGATCACGTGTGTATAATATTTTGAGAAAATTAAAGAGTAAGTGATGCATTTTATGTAGAAATAATCTATATAAATTCTACATAGAAAAATACGTAGAAATACCAAGCTTAATTTCAAGATTAAATAAATGCTCAAAAATGCATACAATTCCTAAAACAGTTATTACCACTTGTTAATGTTAGTTGTAACTGTTTGTAAATTAAAGTGCACATTTTACTCTTGATCCAGATGTTACTGTTTGAACGTTAGTTGGCTTAAGTAATAATTTTTAAATTGCACTTCACAAAATTTAGAGGAAACAATGCAAGGGAAGGGACTATATTCCCATTTCCCCAGTGAAGACACTAAAGCTCAAAAGATTAGGTAACTTGCTGAAAGTCATGCACTAAGTAAGTGGTGGACTGGCACAGTCTCACAAATCCATCTGATGTTACCTATACCTCTCTCCCTCTACACATTTTTGAATAGCCATGCCTTTATCAGAAAAAATGGTGTTACTCTTCTACTAGGATTGGGAACCAAAATTACTGATAAAAATACAAGGAGAGTTGAATACAATGTTTCAATTCTTTTCAGGAATCACAAATCCCTAAGCCAATAAAAAAGTTGTTTAGAAGCTAGAAGCAAGACAGAAATCTTCCAAATTTGTTTAATGAAGGAAGTCTAAACTCTGATTCCAGAACCTGGCAAAGATAGTTCACTACACACAAAGAAAGATGTGGATCTCTCTCACTTATTAACTTATATTTAATTTTTTATTAATAAAATTTGGGTCCATAAAATTCAACTGTATGTAAAAATCTGTCATATCCTGGTAGTTTCCTAGTCATGAGAGCATGATGTAATATTAGGAAATATTTTAATTAACCCTCAACAGTATATAAAAATCTGTCATATCCTGGTAGTTTCCTAGTCATGAGAGCATGGCATAATATTAAGAAATATTTTAATTAACCCATCATATCAATAGGTCAAAGGAGAAAAATCCTGTCATCTGAGGTGTTGAACAAAGAATTCAATAAATTCAATCAATCTGATGCACTCTGCAATCGTTCTAAGTTCTTGTCTACTAAAATCCTCGACTACTACACATCCACAATCCCTTCTGTGAAACTCTTGGGACCAAATAGTTTAGAATTTGTCTCCCATACATACATAATATCCATGTCAAGGCCTGTAGTAATACTGTGGAATCTAATACAACGATATTTCTGTAGTGAAACATAAAAATGTTCACTCCAAGATCTAAAGATTACAAATAGCATCATTGTCAGTTCAAATCAGGTTTTATGGATAAATGAGTCAGGAAAAGTATGTTTTTCAAAGCATTTTGGATGTTAGACTTGCCCATCATAAGGGATTGTGAGTCTGAATCATATTTCCATCAACTCTTCTTGCCTTTCATACAATTTTTTTCTTTTATCTTTTTTATCATTGAAATACAACATTTAAATAGAAAATTGTGCAAATCATAAGGGACAACAAATTGATGATGTTTTACAATGTGAATACATGGATGTAACAACCAGTAAGACCAAAATATAGAACTTTACTGGCACCCCAGCAACTTATACCCGTACCTAGTCATTACCCCTGAAAGTTAAGCACTATTCTAACCTATGTTACTATAGAATTGTTTTGCCAGCTTTTTATACTTTATACAAACAGAATTATAAATTATTTACATTTTTGTGCCTGGTTTCTATTGCTCAATATGAATGCGTTTGAGATCTGTATATTGTGTTGCATGTAGGGATATTTGCTTGTTTTGTTCGTAAATAGTATTCCATTGTATGAATGTACCACAACTTATTCATTCAACTGTTGATATATATTTAGATTGTTTCTAGTTTGTGACTATTTCCAATAATGCCACTGTGAACATCCTTATCATGTCTTTCGAAAAACAAGTTTATGTATCTCTGTGGGATATATACTTGTGTGGTAAGCAGGATTCTAAGGTGATCTCCAATGACTCTTGTCTTGGTATAATCTCTTTCCATTGGGTGTAGGTGGAACCTGTAAATATCATGAGATCTTACTTTTATGATTATGTTATTTCATATGGCAAAAAGGATTTTGCAGATATAATTAAGGTCACAAATCAGTTGCCCTTAAAGTAGGTGAGGCAGACCTAATCAGGTGAGCACTTACAAGGGCCCAGATGTTTGCTGAGAGATTCGAAGCATGAGAGAGCATTTGGAGGGGGCCACATGACAAGGAGCTGCAGGAGTCCTCTAGGTGATGAGTTGCTGCCCCTTGTTGACAGCCAGCAAAAGAATGGAGGGGCCTCAGTACTACAGCTACAGGGCACTGCACTCAGCTGGCAACATAGATGGGTCTGCAAGGGTTTCTTCCCCAGAGATCCAGAAAGGAACACAGGAAGTCCAAGAGCATCTCACCCTGTGAGACCTTGAGCAGGAAAACCAGTCACACGGTGCACAGACCTCTGACCTACACAACTGTGAGCTAATAAATGAGTGTTGGTGTAAGCTACTAAGACTGTAGCAATGTGTTTCACACCAATAGAAGCCACTAGAGATTTCGATACCTGGATGTGAGGTGTAGTCACTGTAAACACCATAAAATGTGGATGTGGCCTTGGAACTGGATAGTAAGCAAAGGCTGGAAGAATTTTGAGATGCATGACAGGGAAAGCCTAAATTGCCTTGGACAGACTGGTAGTAGATGTCAGCTGGATATCCAAACTGCTTTGGAACTCCTAACTCTTTTCTGCCTTCTATTTTCTCCCATATAAAACAGACTGTTTGTAGATGTTATCCTGTGCCCGTCCCATCATTGTATGTGGTGGTGTTGGGGAAAATAGCTTGTCACTTTAGTGCTGATGGTCCACAGTTGAAGAGGGATTTTGCCCTAGGAGTTTTACTGGATAGGATCATACCCAGGAATCTCATCCGTTCATGATTCAGATGATGAAATTGAGATGAGCTTTTGGAATTGAGCTGATGCTATAACACAAAGAAATTTGGAGACTGTGGGGTGGATTGAATGTATTTTGTATATGGGAAAGACTGGATCACTGAGGGCCAGAGGGCAATGTATTTTGTATGTGGGAAAGACTGAATCACTGCTGAGGCAGGCAGAATTCTAAGATGACCTCTAATGACCTCTGATCTTATGTGAACTTCTCTTGAATATAAGAACAGCCTGTGAATATGATGAGATACCACTCCTGTGATTATGTTACACAATATGGGGAAAGAGATTTTGCAGATGAATTATGCTCCCAAATCAGTGAACCTCAAAATAAAGAGGTTGACCTGTGTGGGCCAGACCTAAGTAAGTGAGCCCTTAAGATGGCCTGAACCCTTCCTGGGAGATTGAAAGTGTGAGAAGGAATATGTAGAGCTCTATGTGGCAAGAAACTGCATGAGGCCTCTAGAAGCTAAAAATGGAACTGAATTCTGCCAATTACCTGAATGAGTTTGGAAATATATTCCTCCTCAGTCTCCAGACAGAAACACAGACTCACTGACCAATAGCACAGGCTGATTTCACTCTGTGAGACTTGAACAGAGTACTTGTAAACCTATGGAACTGGGAGCCTAAATAAATGGCCATTGTTTAAAGCCATTAAATTTGTGGTGATTTGTTACTCAGGGATAGAAAAGTAACATAGATGGAATTTCTGGGTTATAGAAAATGCATAAATTCAGCTTTAATAGGTACTCCCAGTCTTCCAAGGGTACTAATTTACACTCCTACCGGCAGTTAGAGTTTCAGTTCCTCTATACTCTCCCCAGCTCCTCATATTGACAGTCATTCTAGCTATTCTGGTAGATGTTTGCCAGTGTCTTCTTGTGATTTTAATTTGCATGTCTTTGATGACTTATTTTGGGCAGTCTTTGTTGTCGGTTTAATATCCTATTTTGTGAAGGACCTGTTGAAATATTGTGCCAGTGTTTAACTGCATTTACTTTTATTCTTTATTTTATTCTGTACATAAAATGTTTTCTGAATGTGTGCATGCATACATGTTTATTTGTAGCTAATGTTTTCCTTTACCATTAGTGGTTCTTGTGTTTTAGATATAATTTACCCCAAGGTCATCAAGATATGCTTGTA